AAGAAAAGACTATTGCTTTGTACAATTTATAAGGACAAAATAAAAATATGTTATAAAGAGATGCATTTAAGCAGGGCTGGATTATCCTTAGGCCAGTATAGGCTGTAGCCTAAAAGCCAAGGCTATAGTTTCCTTTAGGCCAGTATAGGCTGCAGCCAGGGCCAGATTATCCTTAGGCCAGTATAGGTGCAGGTGAGTTAGATGGTGGCTCTGAGGTCGGAGAGCAGAATTTCATTTGTCTAGGGGCTATAAAAGGCTATACTCCAGCTGTGCATGTAAAAACTAAAGGTTAATGGACTGTTCCATTACAATCTGCTGTCCAACAGGTAAAAAAATACAGCAAGAAGCACCAGGAACACAAATAAAATTCAATTCATTTCAATGTTTGTTTTCAGGGAACTGAATTCTCCAAGTTGTGAGTTTATTCGGAATTCTCACAAATCAACAGTGCAATGCTAGGTCCAGTGATAAATATTTTGGGGGGAGATAGGCACATTTTCAGGTTTCAGTTATACAATGTGCAAGACACAACATTTACAGAAAATCCTGGGCTCATCACAGACTTAAGAGCTATAGGTTTTATCTTCAGGTACTGGATGTCAGCTCTGACAAATCTAAAGTAATGGTGAATAACACAAACAGTAACACCTGTGTCAACATTACCATGAACAGGAAATCACTGGAGGAAGTGTTGAGTTTTAAACAATTAGGAGCAATTTTGTCTAAAGATGGTACCTGCAACTTGGAAATCTGGACACAGATTGCCACAGCTATAGCAGCAATGGCCAAATTAGCAAGAATATGGAGGCACTTTCAAACAAAGTACAGACTGTACAAATTGTTGGTAGTCTCCATTCTCCTATATGGATGTGAAACATGGACACTGTTGGCAGAAACAGAGAGAATGATCGAAGTGGTTCAGGACAAATGCATGAGAAAACTCCTTGGCATCTTCTATTGGAAACATAAAACCAATGAGTTTGTGCAGAAAAGGGTTGAAAGTTTTGTGGTCCACAAATGGAGAAAAATAGCATAGTTTGGAGATATTACAAAGCATGACAGCCTGTGCAAGACCACCATGCAAGACACCATTGAAGGTGGATGTAGGAGAGGATGCCAACGTTAAAACTGGTTGGACAATATCAAACAATGGAGAAGTATAACTATGAGATATTCAGAAAAGGCATGGCATGTGGAATTAGAACAATCAACGTTCAGGGACTAAATAAAGGGTTCAGTTTGAAATTCCAACATGTATCACCTGACATTTTTGCTGTCATTCTCAAGAGAAAAGATAGTATAAATCTGGATTCTAATAAACAGTTCTAATGACTTTATGTAGTGAGAGCAAATGAAAGAAATCCTCAAGAAATACATTTTTTTCAAAATTTATAATTGTAGTTTATTTAATTTTTCTTCTTCCATTATTCATAGACATTTTTATAAATGTATGAATTTATGTTTTCATAATTAATTCCTTATAATATGATAAATAAGATAGGATTAATACAAATATAAAATTTATCACTATATATATATATATATATATATATATAATGTATATATATATTAGCAGTAGAGCCCAGCATTGCCCGGGGATGTAACAGTAAGAGATAGATCAAGTATCAACCATCATAAAGACTGAAAAATAAAATTGACAAAGATTATTGTTTAAGGTTGATGGACACGCATGTCTTAATTAGTTTTTTTTGTTTTTTTTACGAATTGGTCAAACCCAAACTCAAACAAAAACATTGTTTTCAATTGTTATGAGTCTACCGATTGAATAGAATTCTATTATAAACAATTGTCTTGTAAATGGAATTTTTAAAGCATTCTGAATGCAAAAATAAAGAAAAAAGTGTGCAAGACAATAAGAAACACTACCTGCCAAAATTTTTGTTGAAATCAGTTGAAAAATGTAGGAAATCCGATCCCATATATAAACGAATGCACACACACACACACACAAACAACGTGGGTTTTATAATAAGTATAACTTGATATGAGTTGTCCCCCTTTCATTTGCGAAAGCGATGCCTCTTAATCGTGTTTTCAAATTGATTTCATGCAAAAACAATTGTTTTTCCAGTTTTTGGCGCTGTCAGAACCACCACAAGGTAATTTTACGTAGTCCTGTGAAGTTTTGTTGAAATCGGTTGAAAAATGTAGGAAATCCAATCCAATATATAAACGTACAGACACACACACACACAACCTGGGTTTTATAATAAGTATGATATATGCAAAAACAATATATCCATTTTTATATATCAATAATAATTTTAGTGAAAAAACTATGACAAATTGGAAAAAGAAACTAAAGGAAATCGGCCGTACTATTTACACAAAACATATCTAAAACACAAATTTAAATTTAAAATTCTCAGTGTCCCCTCCTTTTCATGCCCATGTGTAATCGAATCAACATAAACATCACTTTAGACTGAAGATTTCATGCAAACACGTTTTTCATTTTGTCGTAATTTTCATACATACCTACATATACATATATATAAAAGTGGACACTGAAATAAACAATTACTGATAGTCTGTCTCATGCTTGAGCACAATTTTCAGACCACGTTTATATTTACATATGCTGTATCTCTGATATTGAGCACGTTTACCCATAAATATAGCTTACCTTTTATTTATTTACATATATATATATATATATATATATATATATTAATAAATACACAAATACCTACGTTTGGTGTGCAACTTAAGTTTTGTTGGTCACCCAACTTGTCTTGTGCCTGATGAGTTGGGTAAACAACAAAACTTAAGTCGCTCACCAAGCATTTTGATATATGTGTATTTATTAATATATATTTCTTAATTCTGTCTAATCATATTGAGCAATATTATGTCTACGCCTCTTAGCAAAATTTGGTAATTATTTATTTGCTTACCAACATATGCACGCCAACACACATGTATACGGTTGCTAATATCTAGTTATTTCCTTTACCTAACACTTTACTCATATATATATATATATATATATGCTTAACTCATTACCTACCATGAACTCCATTTGGGGATCTGTTAAAATTAAACTCACTTCATGTTATTCCTTGTATTTACATTGAGTTGCTTACATACATTGCATTTGCAGAGGTATATTTTACAACACTTAGCCTTTAAAGTTTTTATTATTAGCCGTAAGAAGACACTTTATGTCGTAATTTTACATTTCACGAAAAGAAAAATAATGACTATGAGTATTTTTTTTATTATTTCTAATCAGTATTATTTTTTGATGTTTTATACACATATATATTTGATGTTCTAGTTTCTATAAAAATGACAATGGTAACTACTGAAAGTAAACATAAGGAATAAATAAACTCCTAAGACACCTGTCTGGGCCAAAAATGTGCATTAAAAAAATTTGGCATTTAATGGGTTAATAGAAATATAAAATTTTTCACTTAGTCGATTAATGTTATATATTATGTCTACAGCTATATAGTAGATTATTTTACTTCAAGAATAAGAATGTGTTCCCTTCTGTCTCCAGCAGGGGCCAGACACCTTAGTGCAGGGATTCTCAATTGCTGTCCTGTGGCACACTAGTATACCGAGTGATCCAGAAATGCCATGAGTACATGAGGGGAAAGGGGATTACAGGGAGTGAAAGTGTGATTGTAGTTATCAGGGAAACAAGTAAACAGAAGGGAGTTCCACAGGTGGGAAGTGTGAGAAAAGAAACTGTTGGAGTAGAAGTGGCAGTTGTATTTAACTACATATATATATATATGTGTGTCTGTGTGTATGGAAGTATTAATGGTGCAGTGTTAGTATTTGAATAAACAAATACGTATTAAACATTTTTTTCAAATAATTCTTTTCACTATTCTTCGATTATATTATTTTAAATATTTTGTTTTAATATTCATTTTTTAAAAAGCATTTTTATTCTTTTATACACACAAAATAAAACATTCAACGGTACCCACCGATACATTTTGGATTTCAATACAAAAGCAATATCCCACATTAGCTAAAAAGCCTTTATCAGTTTTATTGCAATTCTCTGTCTCTTATTCATGGGAATTAAGCTTCTCAGACCTAAATCACATCAAAAATAAGAAGTGAGAAAGACTACGCTTTACTGAAGAACAAATGAGGGTTTGCTTATTGCTCATTCAACCAAATATTGAAGCAATTGCAAAAAAAAACCCAGGCACAGATTTCACACTAAATAAGCTGCTCAAATAGTTGAATAGAAACATTGAAATAAATGAAGTTCATATTTGTGTGGCTATTTTTTAAAAATCTATGGTTTTATTTCATAACATTTAAATGTGTACCCTTTAAAAATTTTGCTAAGTGTGATATTTTCATTTGCTCCTAGGTGTGCAGTTGCTTAAAAACGTTGAGAAACACTGGCATAGAGAGGATTATCAGATTGCCTTCCATCTAAATAATTGATGTAAGCATACTGAAGAGTTCTCAGGTCGGACTTTATCTAGTAAGGGGTCATGCTTATTGAAATAGACATGGCTGACACTGGCATACAGTTCCAAGTTAGGAAACTCATTCTAGACAGGATGTTCCATTGTTATAAATATTTTATAAATTTCTTCACTGGCATCTTACCAGAAAAAAACTTGTTGATTGACATTTTTCTAATTTGTTTTTTTGTTTCAGCACAGTTTTTCTTTTTTATTTTGAAGTTCGGCTGATTAGTTTGAATAAGTTCCATTGCAACTATTTACCAAATGTCGAGAAAGGAGGTTGAAGAATTTGGCTCTAAATAAAATAATGACGGCAGAATGATTTATAGGTTTTTTGGTATCTTTGAAGGCTTGTAACTTGGATGTTCATAAATAGGGGGTTGCATATAATGTTACCTAATTTCCTGTCTTCCTAAACTTTTACAGTAAATGTTAAAAATACAGTAGATGGCATTTGCTTGATATTAGTCAAATGTTCCAAGTGACAAAGATTTTTGTTGAATTCTTTTTCTTTTTTATCCCATTTTTAAGCTGATCATATTAAATTCCACATTTTCTTTTGTAAATTCATTTTTCTCTTTTTCTCTCTTTCTCTCTCTCTCTCTCACTCTCTCTTTCTCGCTTTCACTCTTTTGCTTTCTCTTTCTCTCTCTCTATTTCTTGCTTTCTTTCTTTGTCTCTTTTTGCTTTCTCTTTCTCTCCTCTTCCTTTCACTCTTTCTCTCCTCCTTGTTTCATTCTTTCTCTCCTTTTTCTTTCACTCTTTCTCTCTTTCTATTTCTTGCTTTCTTTCTTTGTCTCTTTTTTCCTTTCTCTTTCTCTCCTCTTTCTTTCACTCTTTCTCTTTCTCACTTTCTCTATTTGTCTTTTTCTTGTTCTTTCTTTCTTTCTTTCTTTCTTTCACTTTCATTTCTTTCTTTTTTTGTTTTGTTTTTATTTTTTCATTTAACTTATCCAGCTTTTCAAATGTCACATTATTTACCTACACCCTAAACAATTTGGGTCAACAACAACATTGCACATCATATATTCCAAAAACAAAAAAAAACACCCTATTTTTTTTTTTCTCATTCTGGGTAACTTGATACCAAATAATTTCTTAACCAAAAATACAAAACATTTTCAACCTGAACAAATCTTTCCTAAAAACAGGTTGACCTATCTCCAAATCAGATTTTCAAAAACCTAAAATGAACATTTACCCCTAGAGTAGTTAGCAGATAGAATGACTGGCCAAAAACATGCTGTTCACAATTCATAGTAAAAGGCCACCACAGTTATTTTCAGATTAAAATGTTTAAACTGATTAATTATAATTAATCTTTTATTGAATGTCAGTTTCACTGTAACAGTGATATAGGTCATATAAATTAGTATTATTACCATGACTACACATTGGTACATCCATGTATCAGTTGTAAGAAATAAAATGTGGTACTGAGTTAACCGCATTGGACTTCACATATGTTAGTGAAAAACGAATTTTAATTTTCCTTAACTAATTTTGTGATGTGATGATAAGCTACATATTTTGCTTTACAGCATTTGAGACTTTATAAAAATGACTATAGCTAAATTTTTCAAAATGTCCAGATTCATTCTTAAGGCCATCTATAAAAATGATGAAAAGTACTGAATTTTTGAATTTTATCTTATGATAATGCCTGATGATAATGACAGTATAATTGTATTATTCTAACTTATGAATGAAAACATTGTAAGGACATTGGATATTTATAATTCTTTTACAGATAATAACAGTATAATTCTATTGTTCTAATGGAAACATTATAAGGTCATTGGATATAATGTCAGTTGATAATGCCAGTATAATAGTATAGCACTTAAAGTAGAAAAGATTGGCTGGTATCATTGTCCAAATATCATGATGACCCATGCCTGACAACTAATCTCTCTTCTGACCTATTAAAGCTCAATGGAGAAAAGGCTGGCTGGTATCATTCTCCAGATATCTGGATGACCAGTGCCTGGCAGCTGATCTCCCCTTTGGCGTGATTCTCACAGTTCAATAGAGAAAAGACTGTGTGGTATCATTCTTGAAATATATTGATGACAAATGCTTGGCAGCTGATCTCACCTCTGACCAAAATTTTATAGCTCAAGGGAGAAAAGACATGCTGATATCATTCTCCAGATATCTGGATGACCAGTGACCGGAAGTGAATCTCACCATTGACCTAAATGTTACAGTTCAATATAGAAAAGATATGCAGGTATCATTCTCCAAATATATTGATGACCAGTGCCTGGCACCTGATTTCTCTTCTGACCTAAATGTTACAGCTCAATGGAGATAAGGTTGGCTACTATCATTCTTCGAATATATTGATGACCAGTGCCTTGTACATGATCTCTCTTCTGACCTGTTACAGCTCAATGCAGAGAAACTGGATGATATGGCTTAGGGTTGTAATAGAATGTCCCACCTTCCTTATCCCCTTACCGATTCCCTGTCTTTCAGTAGTGTATTCTCTTTTACAATAAACCTCTCTTTAATCTACGCCCGTGTTGCTGTTCCTTTCATTTGAGTACCACCTTTGTCTGTTTTTAACCTTCTTTAAGGATACAACAGTATCATTCTCCAAATATCTTGATGATCAGTGCCTGGGAACTGATCTCTCAACTGAAATAACAGTTAAAACTCAACGGTGAAAAGACTGACTGGTATGATTTTCCTGATATCTTGATAACCAGTACCTGGCAGCTGATCTCCTCTCTGACCAAAATCCCACATCTTCAGGGAGAAAAGACTGATTGGTATTATTCTCCAAATATATTGATGGCCAGTGCCTGGTAGGTGATTTCCCCTATGATCTAAAAGGTACAGCTCAATGAGAAAAGACAGGCTGATAACATCGTCCAAATATCTTGATGACCAGTGCCTGGAACCTGATCTCTCTTTTGACCTAACTATTATGGCTCAATGTAAAAAAGACATACAGGTTTCAAACTCCAAATATTTTAATGATCAGTGCTTGGCAATTGATCTGCCATCTGACCTAACTCTCATAGCTCAATCGAGAAAAGAAAGGCTGGTATCATTCTCTAAATATCTTGATGATCTGTGCATGGCACATGATCTCCCTTCTGACCTAATTGTTACAGCTCATTGGAGAAAAGACTGACTTGTATCATTCCAGTGGAGTAATAGATAGCAGCTCAGACCACAGAATCAGAGAGCTAACTTCAAATTCCAGTGGAATCCATTAGATTCACTTACGTTCTAATACCCTTGGGAAAGGTATGAATCATCTTCTTCTCACCCTTCAGCTATGGGTAAATAGCAGGACAGACCAGGTTCTATAGCCTTGGATGGCAACTGGTCTACCACAGAAAGAAATAGCAACCTACTGCAGCAAAAAATCTGCCTCGTCAGTCATGTATCAAAAGATACATGATCACCTAAGCATGTATCATGCATGGCACATAACTAACTGGTATCATTCTCCAGATATCTCGATGACCAGTGCCTAGCAGGTAATCGCTCTTCTGATATAACTGTTACAGCTCAATGGAGAAAAGAAAGGCTGATACCATTCCCCAAATATCTTGATGACCAGCGCCTGGAACATGATCTCTCTTTTGACCTAACTATTATGGCTCAATGTAAAATAGACATGCAGGTTTCATACTCCAAATATCTTAATGATCAGTGTTTGGCAATTGATCTGCTATCTGACCTAACTCTCACAGCTCAATGGAGAAAAGAAAGGCTGATATCATTCTCCAGATATCTCGATGACCAGTGCCTAGTAGGTAATTGCTCTTCTGATATAACTATTACAGCTCAATGAAGGAAAGAAAGGCTGATATCATTCCCCAAATATCTTGATGACCAGTACCTGGGTCCTGATCTCCCTACTAACTTAACTCTCTCAACTTAATAGAGAAAAGCCTGGCTGGTATCATTCTACAAATATCTTGATGACCAATGTCTGGCAGCAGATCTCTCCTCTGACCTAATTCTCGAAGCTCAATCTAACTGGTATCTTTCTCCAAATATCCTGAGAATCAGTGCCTGGTAACAGATCTCCCCTCTGATTTAAATGTCACAACTCAATAGGGCAAAGACCGATTGACTGATATTATTCAAAATATCCAAACTTAAATTCATAGCATTTCATCCACACCAAGCAGCCCCTAAATTTTCACTAATTCTAATGAATGTTCATACCCTCTGTTACGGTTGGTGCAACACAAAAATAAGATGAAACAGATTCTTAGAAATTAAAGTTGAAAAGAAGATGACATGTAATAACGAAAAGTGGGTTTTATTTAACATATAATACAATAATTTTTACAAACAGTCGGGCTGAGGTTTAAACAATATAGATAAGAAATGCTAACAGTTAATAAGCATGTGAGAGCCCAGAAAGTAGTTGACTTAACGTATAGCTATATGAGGAAGTGGGAGGAGGAAATCCTTATACAGTTAAGATTAAGGCGATGGATGAGAATTTGTCGCTAGTCAAAGAATAATATTATTTTCTTCTTAGAAAAATAGTTAGATATTCACATGTATATAATATAAAGGAGTTTGGTCAATAATATCAAGGAATAAAAGGTGAAGTATTTACCAATAGCCTTTTCTTTTTGAGGACTGTCTGAAATTAGATTCTTTCGGTCAAAGCTTTATTCATGAATCAAACAGATAGGAGTCGACCTCAGTCATCATGGCTGTGGGTTCAGGAGGCAAACTCGCTAGTTGGTATAAACTCTTGTTTATATATGTTTTTTGTACCCTCTAGAACCCAGTAGAAGTTTCTAGAGATTTCTAGAAAGTTCCATTCTATTATTATGAAATCTAAAAGGTTTGGTGAATGGGAGCTTTTTGTCAGATAAAAAGGTGCATCTAGTAGCTACAGATTTAAGTCATGATTTTAAACTAGATTTTGTATTTTAGTGTGTAAGTGTAAAGAGGTGGGGCAAAATGGGGCCTCATAACACTCTCCAAAAGGTTCTTTGCCTTAAACATTTACCACGGCTTAAGCTCACTTCTGACCTCAAATGGAATGTGTATATTCATACCATTGTAAATGTTGCCAAAAGAATGGTCGGTTCATGTAACACATGATTAATACCTAACTCCTGCTGCAATATTCTTTCTTAACAAGAGTCAAATCATACCAAGTATGCAGTATTGCTGCCATATTTGGGATTATACTGCCTAATCGTCACTGACCGGCAAGTTCAAAAGTCTCTATGCAACCTTGTGGGTGATGAATTATTCCCAACACTTCAATCCTTACCCCATATACAAAACCTCATCCGTCTTTCACCATCTCTCTTTATTTTCATAGCAGCTTTTCGGAAGATTCACATTCATTAGTGCCGCTGGCTCAGTCCTTCACATCCTTCACAGCTCGGACCCATCAGGCCATGCTCACAGTGGTAAACCATTCGTATTCCTTTTGTGTTCCTTTGATAAAAAGCAAATTCTACCCAGACAGCTTGTTCCCCAGAACAGCTACTTTATGGAAAGACTCCTGAGAGGATGCTCCCCTAACAACTACAATCTTTAACAGTCAGTATCTATCCTACTCATCCTCATAATACCCTCTTACTTCTCCCTTCCCTTTTAAAATCTCACTTAGTAATCCTCTACTTTGAGTGGCTCTTGGGCCTTGTATTGGCTGAATTATCAGTAAAAAAAACAAAAAAATTAACAGATTATTAATATTTACCATAAAATAGTTTTCAATTAATATGTTCATTTGTTTGTCCCCAAAATAAATTTGCCTAATATATTGTATTAATGACACAGTGGAGTAATGGATAGCAGCTCAGATTGAGGAATTGGAGAGCTGAGTTTGAATTTCATTCAAATCCATTGTATTCACTTATGTGCTAATACCCTTGGGAAAGGTATGAATCCTCTTCTTTTTCCCCCAGCTATGGGTAAATAGCAGGACATACCCGGTTCTATAGCCTTGGATGGCAACTGGTCTACTGCAAAAAGAAATGGCAACCTATTGTGGGAAAAAAAATCTGCCTCGTCAATCATGTATTGAAAGATCCATGATCGCCTAAGCATGTATCATGTATGTCACATAGCTGACTGAATGAATGTTCCTGACAGACGCAAGAGAAAGATAAGCTAGTTGACATTTAATTTTTTTGTATGGAATTTTCACACTGAGTTGCCAAACCTTGATTTTTTTCATGTTTTGCGCTTCATCAATGGCCAACTGGTTGATTTCATTATTTAAAGGTCACATGGAGTTTTGAAAGACAATGGTCAACTGATGCTGTGCCTTTGTTCATAGAGTAAATTCATTAGCAGGCTTCTTTGCACGGAGTTGAGAATTCTTGTCCTGCTAATGATGCAAAAGAGAAGTTTTTTTATTTAATCTTTTGGCATTTTTACACAAATGGACCTTCAAGAAATAATATTTTTTTCAATTTTTTTCCATAGTACCATTAAGCTCTCCAGATTTTGAATACAGTAGAAAAAATATTTAAAAATTTTCTTGATTTTAAAATGGAGTACAGTTTGCTATGTAAATTCATTGTAAATTGCCCCCCCCCATACATGCCAAAAATTATTAATTAATCTTTGACCATAGTTAGGATTATCTAGTCAATGCAAATGATCCTTTCCTGCATAATATGTGCTTCGCCAGGGCTACTTACAGTTTTGAATTCAGAGTTTTGTTCCTCCATCACTGGTTGTCACCCAAGGCTATAGAACCTAGTCTGTCCAGCTATTTACCAATAGTTGGGGAGGAAAGAGATGGATTCATACATTTCCCAAGGGAATTAACATGTAAGTGAATATAATAGACTCGACTGGAATTTGAACTTAGTTCTCTGATTCTTCAATCCAAGACCCAATCCATTACTCAACTGTGACTCCCTAACATAAAATAAGTGAAATAATTAACAATAATAAGGGCTTACCAGTATATCATGTTGAAACACCAGTTCTTGTATGATCACTGAAGTTAAGCAACATTGAGCCTGGACAGTACCTAGATGGGTGACTGTTTGGGATTACTAGATGCTGTATGTTTCGATGTGCTCATGGTGCAAAGGATAATGGTTTGGAATTGGAAACTGGAGAGCCATGTTTCAATCCTACTTGGGTTCATTAGATTCATTTTCATGCAAATAACCTTGGGAAAGGTATGAATCCACCTCTTCTAACCCCAGCTATGGGTTAAATAGTAAAACTTGTATCAGTAAATCATTATTAACGCCAAAAAATTGTTTCACTCTCAAATATTTTCTGGCATTATATAATCTGCAAAAGGTTGACAAGCCATAAAAAACAAATCAATCAATTAATATTAATAATAATAATAATAATAATTAAGGGGTAAAGGTCGTCGGTGTTAGCTCCTCCTTAATTCCCTGATTGTTCACTAGGGATCTCTCTCCCTACACTATAAATACTGGGCAACTTCTCACCTCGTTCTCTTTTTACATTTTTTCATTGCAGAGAACAAATCTACAATGTAAGCTCTCGCAAAAAGATAATGTCCCCTGACTTGTGGGAAGATACCGTGAACATACACACATACACGTATGTACGAATGCTCACCAAGATACAAACTCTTTACGTCCACACATACAAACACAAATATTGATGTTTATTGTCCATTGTAAATCTTGTTGTTTAATAGATATATTTGTTGGCATATATATATATATATATATATATATATATATATATATATATATCGGTCGGTCTTGTTTGTTTTTTTTTTTTTCATCTTCGGTTGGACACAATTTGAGCCATTTTTCTTGTAGTTAGACCTTCTAGCAGGAAATAAACAGCATCTGTCCCTAATTCAACAACATGCAAACTGTTGTAGAGTAGTTTTCACAGTGGAGGCTTGTATTTCAATAAGTTGGTCCTAAAAAGGTCCGACGTACAAAACATTAGGAACATGCAATAATAGTTAATGACGCAGCAATCTAGTTGTGGTGATGATACTTTAATGTCCGACATCGACTGACTCACTCAACTCCACTGATCCCAACTGGCGACCGCTACTACTACTACCACTTATTATGTGTGGGAGAGTCTATTACAATAGAATAGGTAATGTTCTAGTATAACACAAACCCACATGGTCCCTCTCCAAGGTAAACAAGAATCTGCTTAAAAATTCATATTTCATAGCAGTTTTGAAATTATTTGAAATTTTTATGTGTAGTGATTCATAAACAAAAAATATGGGTTGTGTCCCCTGCCTTGTTAGGTTATAATAATAGAAGAGGAAGTATAATGTCCTAGAAAGACATGAAAATACAAAGTCTCTCTTTCTCTTTCTGACCGACAACTGTTGGACCAGAAAGACGTTTTCTTAAATGAGCTCACAAGAAAGATGTCTCTTCAAACAGATCAGCCTAAGACCATATCTTTCTTTAATTAACCCTTTGAGCCTGGTCACCGCTATACCGATGGTAGAGAAAAATGACTTAATACCCATCTACCTGTTGAACAGTAAGTAAACACTTGTATTTTTATATCTACCATAAAACATTACATACCAATTATTTGTGAGTTTTGACTTAGGAGCTCAGGCAGAAGGGTTAAAATTGTTCAGAAATGCAGGGTTCTATGGATTAATACATGCAAATCAATATATATATATATATATAGTCGACTCTCCCGTCGAGTTCGACATAAGAGGGTCAAGCAGATCAGTTCCCAGGAAACCGACAGCCTGACAACGGCACATAAGATTTGATTATAGTGGTGAAGGTTTCGTGCAGGACCATCCACACTTTTTGAAGAGCCAAATTCAGAGACCTGGTGTACTACGTGCCACAAAGTCCCCAAATGACCCTCCGCAGGTTTTGAATTCATAGTTGTCCTTCTAGACCAGTTGCCATCCAAGGCTATAGAACCCAGTCTGCCCTGTTATTTACCCATAGCTGGAGGGAGAAGAAGAGGATTCACACCTTTCCAAAGGGTATTAGCACGTAAGTAAATATAATGGATTCGACTGGAATTCGAACTCGGCTCTGCGATTCCTCAATCCAAGCCGCTATCCATTACTCCATATAAGTACTGTGAATAATATGAATCATTTATGTAAGTAATTGCATGTTTTATAAAAAAATCAATCATTTAATAAATATTTTATATCCTGTTACATTTACACAAAAAACTGTTCATATTTTATTTCATGTTTTCATGTAATATTGCACGCCAGTATAAATTTTACATGTTGTGGATGGATGATATAAAAATAACCAAGCCAAAAACAAGGCCTCATATCATCTGCACTCCCACAACATAAACATCAATACAACATAGAAAAAAATGTAAACAAGAAATGCTTAAATTTCATATTTCACAGCAGTTTGGAAATTATTTGAAATTTGTATGCAAGTAAACACAATACAGCGAGACCTCACTTATTTGCGTTTCAGCATTCGCAGTTTCACACATTCGCGGATTTTTCTTTAGAACATATGTACTTGTTATTCGTGGAAACCCCGAATATTCAAGTGTTTTTCTGAAGAACATATGTACAAATTATTCACTGAGAACTTCCTCAATTTGAGTATTTTTTCGATAGGACATATTTATTTTAAAATATTCTTATATTATTTTCCTGTTATTTAAGTGACTTAAAAATATAACTCCATTTTATGGTAAAAATTTGCAGAATTGTACATCTTCAGTATAGAAAAACAAACTCAAAAACATGCGCAGTACTTGGGCTTTGTTCTTTGTTAGGGGCTGCGGATGGGGCCTTAAAAGTGGCCTATGGTAAGTCTGGGAGCATCATCACAATTCTGGTTTTAGAAAATGTTTTAAACTTTATATTTTATGTCTTGTTACACATAACAATCAAAATAGGTACTTATAAGTCTTTAAGCACTTTTGGAGGGGGGGTTGTCAGAGTTAGCTCCTCCTTAATTCCCAAATTGTCACTAGGGGTCATTCTCCCTATACTATAAATACTGGGCGACTTCTCGACTCGTTCTCTTTTTCGTTTCTTCATTTCAGCGACTACAATGTAAGCTCTCTTAGAAGATCCGCGTCTTCCCATTTGTGGGAGACGCCATGAACATTATACACACATACAAGTATGTACGAACATTCACCAAAGAACAGACACAAACGTTCACACACACAAATATTATTGTCTATGTCCAGTGTAAAATCGTTTTGTTTAAAACATATATTTGTTTATATATATATATATCGGTCTTGTTTGTCATCTTTATCTTCAGTTGGACTTAATTCAAGTTTGGCAATTTTCTTGTAGTTGGACCTTTTAATATTCTACAAGGAGTTACACATGTGTTTCTAATACAAACTCACATTAACCCACCCGGTCCTCAAAAAATTGGTTATCTTCGGATGAGATTGAATTTTCAACTCCTGCTAACAGACACAAGACGGTATGTATGTACAGAACACAATTTCTCTGGCGCAACAAATATTATGATTCCAATTTGTTTTTAGTCTTTATGTTAACATATCGACATCAATAACTTCATAGCCTATGGATAAAATATATTTATTTTATACAACAAAGATCTATTATTTAATATAATCTTTACAATAATAATATTAAATAAAATTAAATGTCTAGAGTGTGTCTCAACCCAGATCATGCAGAATAGAATTTGCACTCAGAAAAGTACACAGTTTCCCTGATGTTACCTCCTGGTCCATAATGATTGCTGCAGTTGCATCTAGAATACATGCATGTAAAAGAGCTGTATCACAGATATATAAACACCCACCCTAGAGAGGAATAAAGTATATGTTTTCAGACACTGTAGACGAGAATGCAAGGTCCTTTGTCAGCAATATTAATATTAAGAAACAGTATATGTGTGACAGGCCATTCTCCTTGTTTTAAATGTTTGAATGGGGTTATGATGATTTGGAGAGACGACTAATTCGATGATAATTATTACAATTCTCAGGAGAATGAATTGAATGGCAGATAATAATATTACAATCTTGATCAATCGTATTTAGTGCCTGCTCCTCATTAGTCAGTGACCACAGAATTATGTTTATTCTTTCACGTCTGTTTTGGTTGTCCTCTACGTCTTTCTTCGGGCGGTATACATTCAAGACACAATTTAGCAAAACCTGCACAAGATCTTTTGCAATGGAGAGTATCAAAAAGTCAAAGCAAATTGGTTACATTTCTAAGCGTTGTTATTTTTAGCTTGTGATAATGTGCATCATATGGTCTTTTTAAATGTTTTTGATTTGAGTCCATATTACAATTGAAACCTCATAAAACAAGTGGAAGAATGTATGTAAAGTATGTTATTGTTTTAATGTGGATTAGTACTAATTTCAGGTTAGCTTTGTTTTCCAATGTAACAGGGCATTGACCCGGTTTAAACTTTTAATTTCATAAAATTGTGATTTGGAGGGACTACTAATTGGATAATAATTATTAAAATTCTCAGGAGAATAGGTTGAATGGTCAAGAAAAAAAATTAAAAATAAAACACATCAAAATTTATGTTTTAAAATAATAAAATGAAATTAAGAACAATTCCAAGGAGAATCAAACCCAGAATTAACTAGCCAAGATTCAGTAAAATTGAGCAAAACCAAGATTCCCCACCATATCCACTTCCCATCGATAAGAAAAAGACAATTAATGTGTTGTTCGAATTCCTTGGGCTCTGAACTTAGAATTTGGGTGCTTTGTTTGCAGTATACTACCTGTAGAGAATATGTGTGGTCACAGAAAATAATGATGTGAATTATTTTAGACAAAGAATGTTTTATGCTAAGCCCCAAGATTTGGGATTTGTTCACGTTGACCAGCCCAAGAACTTAATTATCTTTGCAGAAAGATATCAAGGAAGACTTTGAATATAGTAAGGAAATGCCATATGGCCAATTAGCAAGATCAGTTAAGATTAAGATGTGCTTTTTTTCTGCGACAATCATTTGAAGTTTTTATAGTTACCATTATTTTGGATTTCTTGTGCCGTGAGAAATCCAGCTGGTCATTTTAAGCGAACATGGAGACAATGAAATTAATTGGGCATTGTAAATCATCA